TGTGTGTGTGTGTGTGTGTGTGTGTGTGTGTGTGTGTGTGTGTGTGTGTGTGTGTGTTAGGAGTAAAAGGTGAGGACGCTCTGGTGGTTTCCTCGCACCAGCAGCAGTGGTGGGAGGTCTTTGGACAGAGTTTCCAGCCAGCACATGTAGAGGGCGCTCGACACTGTGCCCTTTCTTGCCAAAGGCATGCTCCTAGCCACACACAGAGAGAGAGAAAGAAAAATGTAATTTTTATGATATTTATATATATCAAAATCAAGCCCAGAGCAGCTAAAGAAGACTGCATGATCTTGTAATTATGAGTTATGAGCAGTTAATGTCATTAAAGGTCAAATTATTTTGACATGTTAAGTTCAATGTGAGAAGTCTAATTTACTTTATATGTAACAGCTGTGATGAGTCATACTTTATGTCTCATTATTTTAACTCTATATTTAACTCCACTTCAATGCTTCTGAAGTTCCCTGAGTGTCATCAGTGCCTTAAGATTTCTTCAGTATCAAAGTTTAAGATATAGTCAAAATTTCAGACTCTCAACTTTAAATCCGCGGGATAGTTAACTGTTTTTTGGGTTCCAGTTTAGTTGGACAAGTTAACACAATCATATATAAAATGCCTTTTTTAATACTGTGATGGAACATGTTTCACAATCTGCTGCACACATGGCCAGGTGGTGCTGGAAGCCATGCATGCCCATGCGTCACACCAGCTCTGCTGCTGCTTTGGCTCCGAAGCATAAAACATGGTTCCAGGACTTCTCCACACTGTTGTCGCTTTGTTACAGGTTGACTTGAACAGGCAGAATGCTGCTTCAGAATTAGTGAAGGTTTTTTAGAGATTTTTTGGTGAAGTTTAACTTGTTGTTCTTGAGTTTGATAAATGGTTGTGGTGAATCCTCTGTATTTTCTTTCATTGGCATCTTCTCTTCTTACGCTTTTCTCCTGGAGATTGTTCTTCTTTAACATCCCCCTGGTGCATTTGCTAAATGTCCAAAGCTTTTGTAAGTTCACTGGTGTTCTTTTTCATTGTTCTAAGAATTCAATTTGGCCCCTTATGGTTTTATTTCATTTTGCAGAAAGTGGTGTCCATACAAGCAGTGATTGGCTTGTCATGCATCATTTTGTCAATTAATGATTGTTTTGGTAGTGAGTATTCCAGGATCCAAAGACACTGTTGTGCACACTGGACACTGGACAAGTCACCACTTTAACATAGACAGCTGTATGCTCATATTCACACCCATGGTGTATTTAGAATCACCAGTTAACATGACACGCACGTCTTTGGAGTGTGGGAAGAAGCTGGAGTACCCAGAGGGAACCCACACAGGCACAGGGAGAAGATGCAAGCTCACACAGAAACACCTGATTCATGGAAATGAGCAGCCGGGTTAACCAGGTTTTTTAAATGCGAGTTTGTCTGTAAATTAGAACAAATGATGACACGATGATGACTAAGTTATTACGAAGTTCTTACATGACGATGAGTTTGGCAGTGCTGGAGTGTTCCTTCAGCAGCTCGTTCAGCCTGATCTGACGATTGGTCTGAAAGTAACACACAGTATATTTACATAAACCACTTGAACAGAGCACTGTGATTGGTCTGAGTGTGTCTGCAACATGAGGACGGACCTTGGCCTTGTAGAGCTCCAGTTCGTTGTCAGTGATCCTCCAGGGCTCCTGGGCCTTCAGCTTCTCAGCAGCCTCCTGCTCCATGTCGTCTTCCTTCAGCCTGTACGGCTCGATCAGCTCCTTAAAGGTCAGCTTACTGTGAAAACAAAACACATACATTAGGTTTTTAGAGTAGCGCTATCAGTTTCATCCTCCCCACATGATGCTTCATTCTAAAGAACATTTAAAAAAATATTTCAAAGCACTTAAACTTTTAATATTACAAACTTTCTACATGTTGACTTTCACAGTCATCAAGTAATCGATAAATTTCAAAAAAGAATTCATGAACAAATCATTCACCTTTTGACTTTGGCTTTCTAACACTTTGTAAGCAATTTAGACACGTAACACAGATGCTAAAGACATTAAAAACACAATCGTGTTTAGTGTAAATCCATAGTGATCAAAGCTGCTGAGCTCAGGAAGTTTCAGAGGACTTACTTGTGTTTCTTGGGTTTGGTGTTGATGTCACCGAGGACGTTTATGTCAGAGAAGTCGATTCTGAACCTGCTGAGCAGCGTGGCCATCCTGACGTGACATAAAAACAAAAACACAATAATAAATGTATGTGGATATAAAGTCAAGTAAAGTTTATTGCTTGGCATAGGTGGATAAGCAGCTGTTGACTCACGCTCGGCGGTCGTGGTCGATGCGGTTAATCTTTCCGCCGATGAACACGCGGATCCTGCAGTCGCCCCACTTACTCCTGTTGGTCAGCAAGTAGGGGATCAGCAGAGTCAGGCCTGCAAACCAACACATCAGAGATTGTGCAGGTCATTAAAAAACAAAAATCTGTTTTCCAGTATAGATCAGGGAACCACAGATTTGATGTTTTTTAAGTCTATTAATTTTTCACCTTACTTTTTACGACAGTGACACGTATGAATCGAAAATCACAACCAACAGTTAGCTATGTTTAGACTTTTTGACAGAGTCATGGGACCCAAAGTCAGTTCACCAGATATGTTTTTATTTTCATATAACAATGAGAACACTAACCTCCATCATCAAAGAGCCACCACACATCAATGGTTCCTTTGCCCTGTTTCTTCTTAAACTGCTGACTGCTCTCCAACAGACGCTGGTCGGTCAGGCTCAGAGGAGACTTGGTCTCTGGTAAAGTCAAAGAAACACAAAAGCTCCTGAGCTGTATCACCAGGGTTCACAACAGTACAGTATAGTAAAACAGAGCCTCAGCTGTTCAAATAATTAATTTTTTATATACTTTTGCTGCTAGAAAAATGCTGGAAACATAAATCAATGGAATATTTTACAAGCTTAGCCGTGAGACTGCAGGGATTGTGCCAAATGTTTTTTGGGCGAGAAGTCAGTCAATTTCAATCATTGCTGATTTTAAATTATTTCCATATAGCACATGGCTAGAAAAGAAAAAGAGATCAATTTAATTTCTTCCTTTTTGTTCACCGCTAACGATGAGCTGCCTTAAAATGGAAATACTTGAATAAAATATAAGAACAACAAGTCCTGTGACAGTAAGAGTTGTATAAAAAGTAAACATTAGAGCAATAGGCTAAGCTGAGGTATAATTTTAATTCTTCCTCACTGTTTACCTCTCATGATGAGCGGGCTGCTCTGGTTGCTGGTGGTTTTTGAAGGACAGGAGTCAGAATCTGAGTCTTTAGCCGGAATGACAGAAATCAACACATCCTTAGTGATGACTGGAGGCTTCTCGTGGGATGATAGCAGTTCGTCTGCAGGGGTACAAGCACAGTGTAAACAGAAGGTAGACAAAGTGATGGATGTGAAGAAAAAGACAGACGTACCTTGTCCCTGGATGTGAGAAAT